AGAGAGAGGATGGGGTGGATTCTTAACAGCACTAAAAGCAAGGTAGTAGGGCACGGGGCCTGGGAGCAGTGATCTCTCCACTTTCGATAGGCCAGGGACCCCCAGCTGTGGCTTTACCCAGCCCCCTCCCCCATGTCCCCTCTCCACACTGAGGCATGGGTACCTGCCTAGGCCACAGGAAACTGCCCCTGCTCCCTACAGGGCACTTCTGAACACAGCTTGGAGCCAGGCCAGAGAGCCCCCCACTAAGTCCTTTGGAGGAGTGTATCTTCCCCTCCAGAGACTGGGAAGTACAGAAAGACTTCTGTAACAGGAACATAAGATGAAGAGAGAGCCTAGGGAGAGATGCTTCCCTGGTGTTGCCACTAGCTTGCTGTGTGAGCTTGAACAAGTTGTTTCCCTTCTCTGAGCCTCAGTACCCTTGTCTGCAAATCCAGAGGGCTGTCCAATCTATGATCTGAAGTGGAGAGACAGAAGAAGGCTGGGGTGGACGGTGAGCTGCAGATAGGGAAATGAATCTGGTATGTTCCTGCCTCTGCATCTCTGAAGCCAATGTTCCACCTCCCAGGGGTGAACATCCCAGGAGCACGGGGTGGGTCAGAGAAGGTCAGATTCTTTTGTTAGCATCCGATGAACACTGGACACTCTGCTTCCTGAGCCAAGTACAGACAGGGACTCCAGGTTCATGGTACTATTGAGGCTGTCATTCCAGCCAAAGGGACATTCTCTGCAGGGGAAGGTAAGCGGTGGCCGACCAGCAGACCCCTGGATGAGGAGGAGCACTCAAAAGTTCCTCAGGAGCTCATCCTCCTGGAAGGCACCAGGGGAGCCATGCCTCACTGGGGTCCCTCACCTAAACTCATTCTCTGGGATGATGATTCTACCTGATCTGTGTTCCCAGTTGCAAAGTTCTCTCATGGTTCCTCTGGTGTGGTTCCCATGTGCAGTCTCACGTCTGACCTGGTCCCTTCTTGTCACTTTAGGTCATTTCCCCCAAAAGTCCAGGAAATGGGAAAGAAAAACGACTTTGTTTATTTACTCTCTGTTGTCTTTTGGACACTGATTCCTGGAGCAGCTTATCGGGTACAAGGGGGCTGGGAAGAGGCTCTGGCATCTGTTTGAGACTCAGATGAGGGGAGGTAGCTCCTGACTTAGGCAAAACACTCATCTTCCAGCTGTCAGGTCTGAAGAAGTATGGGAGAAGGTGTTTCTTGTTTTTACCAGAACTCTAGTGCTGAAACCCCAGGGAGGGAGGATGGAAGGGTATTAACTTCTTGACTTTTCAGGGGAAACTCACCCAGGGGAACTGTGGGCAAATGCTTATGTATAGGGAGGCAGAGTTCATGGGCTATGGAAATCAAATTCTCCTGGGGTTCAAGTCTGCGTCTTCCCCCCATTCCCAAGTGGTGTGCCCTTGGGCACCTTGCTTAACCTCCCTGAACCTGAGTCACTGCCCCTGCTCAGTCAACAAATATTTACTGAGCATCAATCTAGGAACCAGAAGTGTCCCAGCTGGCATGGTACCCATGGCTGTGTCTGCGAATATGGGATGAGACCACCCACCTTGTGGGGGTAGTTGGGGTGGTTAATCCAGGTAAGCTGTAAGTGCCTAGCTGTGGAACTGACTAAAAATAGATGAACTGAAGGGAGGATCCTTTGAACACAGGATTTGAGCCCAGCCTGGGCAGCATAGCAAGACCCCCATCTCCCCTCCCATCCCCGCAAAATAGATGAATAAACTGGGCATGGTGGCTCGTGACTGTAATCCCAGCACTTTGGAAGGCAGACGCGAGAGGATTGCCTGAGCTGAGACCAGCCTGGGCACTTGGCAAGACCTCATCTCTACAATAAATTAAAAAATTAGCTGGGCGTGGTGGCACGCATCTGTGGTTCCAGCTGCTTGGAAGGCTGAAGTAGGATCACCTTGGCCCAGTTTGTCGAGGCTGCAGTGGCTGTGAGCGTGCTACTGCACTCCAGCCTGGGTGACAGTGAAACTACAACTCAAAAAAAAAAAAAAAAATAGGCCATTCTCAGTGGCTCAGCCTGTAACCCCAGCACTTTGGGAGGCTAAAACAAATAGATTTCTTGAGCCCGCAGGTTCGAGACCAGCGTGGACAACTTGGCGAGACCTCATCTCTACAATAAATAACAAAATTAGGCCAGGCTCAGTGGCTCAGCCTGTAATCCTAGCACTTTGGGAGGTCGAGGCGAGAGGATTGCCTGAGCCTGCAGGTCCAAGACCCATTCCAAATCAGGCTTGGTGGCTCAGTCTGTAATCCCAGTGCTTTGGGAGGCTGAGGTGAGTGGATTGTCTGAGCCCGCAGGTTCGAGACCGACCTGGACAACTTGGTGAGACCTCATCTCTGCAATAAATCAAAAATTAACCGGG